TCTTCTGGCACTGAGGGACGCTTTCACACAGCCAGGGCAGCCGGCCTTTTTCTCCTTTTATGTGACTTGCTTGTTCAGCCTGGAAGGCCAGAGGAGACCGTCTTCCACTTATTCCCCCAATCAACAATTACTAATTGAGTGTGTATTATGTACTAGTGCTGAGCACTGTTGGAACTGTATTAGTATGGATTGTTCCATATCGAATTTCGTTGTGACACAATATGTCCATAAGAGCTTCAGATTCAAATCTTTATTTCAGAAAGTTGTCTTCTATTATGTCTGAATATTTTTCTGGTTCTTTTGGTTCTGATCTCTTCCATTCTCGGTAGGTTGTTGTAAACACCAAGTGAGTTAATATATGTAAGTCACTTGGGAGAGTGCCTGGCACTCCAAAGGAAGAGGAGGAGGGGGAGGGAGGAGGGGGAGGGGAAGAAGGAGGGAGGGAGGGGAGGAGGGGGAGGGGGAGGAGGGGGAGGGGGAGGGAGGGGGAGGGGGAGGGAGGAGCAGGGGAGGATTCTCTCCTTCAGGAATATAAGTGCCTTGCCTCCCACATTTCAATGTCTCTAGTCATTTTCCTATCTTCTTAGTTATTTCTCTCCTAATGATTTCCTCTAGTTTGTCCATTAAGTCCTGTTGCCTTTTTAGCTATTTTTATTCTAATTTTTCATTTCTAATATGGCTTTCCTCTCCACATTTATATACTTTGATTTTCATTTCTTTTCGGAGAACTGCAAGCATACTTCTCATTTCTTTATGTGGGCTTATAATCTCTAACTTGAATCCTTATAATCCAAAGAAGAGCTCTTCCCTGCCCCCCCCCCCCTCGTTTTTAATTAAAAAAGGATCAATAACATTATCTATCATCTCTTTGACGCTATGCAAAACTGTCAACGCTTTCCTTGTTTTGGGAGAGTAATCCCTTTTGGGATCCATTTTCTTCATCTGTCTTTTGCTAAGTTCTTTACATGTCTTTACTCAAGTCCCATGTTAACTATTGTCCTAATACTATTTGTCTTTAAATAGGGCCATATATTTGCTGAATAATGAAAAGAATCCACAGAAGAAGAGAAAGAAGGAAGAAGAGAGAGAAAGAAAGGAGAAGGAACATATTGGCTTAAAACCGAGGAGTGGTGGCCTCAGGCACAGCTGATCTAAGGGTTTATGTAACATCCTTGAACTTGGTCACTCTCTCCATTCTGTTTGTTTATACATTACTTCCCTCTCAGAGTCACCCTCCACAAGGCAATGAAATGGCCACTGTTGGCTCCAAGACAACATCATCTTTATAGCTTGTGAACTTGGAGAAAGAGTGCTTTCCCCAAAGGTTTTGGCAAAAGTACTAGGGAAGAATTCCATTGGCCTGGCTTGGATCATGCGCCCAGCTCTGAACCAACTGCTATGGCTGGTGAGTTGGAAAATTCCGATTAGCCGGCTCTAGGGAACACAGGACAGCCCTCCTCCAAACATGGACTGAGCAGGATTTACTGTATACTGCAAGACAGCTTACTTCCCAAAGGGGAGGGGGTGAAACCCATTATGCAGTGTGAAGTTTGCTTCACGTTTTGTAGTTTGGGGTTGGAACCATTTTGTTTGTTTCCCTGATGACATTTACTTCTCTGTTTTTTATTCTTTGTTACTTTGATAGGGTTTCTGCAGAATGCCTTTACTTTGTCATCTTTAACCAGAAGCCCTCTTTTCTTATTTTTGACTCCAACAATACTAACAGCACTTGGTAGTTCAAATATAAGTCTATCAAGCCTTATTAATCATTCCACAACCCACGGTGGGCAGTTATTTCTATTTTACAGATTAAAAGACTGAGCCTCCCAAAGTGTGAAGAGACTTACTAAACAGCATACAGCTAACTCAAGTGGCTGAGAGAATAACCAACTCCAGGGATTCTGGCTCCCAGCAAAGAATTCTTGACTCTACAATTGACTGATCCTGGCCTTTCCTCCTAAACATTACATTTCCAAACCACAACAGTTTGAACTGCATTTACACAGAAAGCCATAAAAGGCTTTAGAGCAGATATATAAAGGATTTCAGCAGATTGAACCACTGGATGGACAGATGGACACATGGACGGAGATTTATACACAGACAGGGGTGGGCAAAAGGAGATTTACAGTTGTGAGTTTATGAGAGAGTTAATAAAGCTATTGTAATAACATAATCTGCATAATCTTTTTCCAAACGAACAGCTATTAACCTACGTTTGCCCACCCCTGTATACATACTTTAACGAAAGCTGTTTTCAATCCATACAGCAACACAAAGTAAGAGAAAATGGAGTGTTGCTAAGGAGCGAGCCTGCCAAACTTGAAAGGAATCCTTAAACGGACACAGAGACTGTTGTAACTGGCACACTGTTTGAAGACAATAATTCGTGCAGTGTTTGAGTGTGTGGCCTCTTTTGGAAAGTTACACAGCTCCCCAAGATCTTGTCTGAGATGATACCTTGCTGAGAAAATCCTTTTCCATCACAGCCAACATAAAGTTAAACTCCAGTCCCTCTGTGTCTGAGTTATCCGTATTCTAAAATAGGGGTGCACAAATCAATGCAGTTTTCCTGAAAGAAGCTGCTCCTGCCCTGGCCAGTTTGGCTCAGCGGCTGGAGTGTCGACCTGCAGACCAGAGAGTCCCGGGTTCGGTTCCCACTAGGGGCATGTACCAAAAAAAAAAAAGAAACTGCTCCTTTCTCTCAGCATGAAGGTGGCTGCTCCTACACTGGACACACATGTGAGGACCCCGCACAGGAGCACGTCCTCACTTCCTCCATCCCCTTCGCACCATCTGCGCATGCTCCCCTCAACCCACGGTCATCTCCTGCCGCTTCCTTTCCTGGTTATTCATTCCCTTCCCTCTCTTCTGCACGCCCAGCTCACTGCCAAGACTCTTCATTTCACAGTTTATGGGCTAAAGATGAAAAAACAATGTTAATTGAGGGTAAGGCTTCAGCATCAAAACTGGGAATACTCCATTGCATAGCAAAGATCATTTCTTGGAATTATTCACTTAAATGTTTACAAGAAACGATTATCAAGTGTCTCAGATTGATTCACAAATGTAATTAATGAAAGAATTGCTAATAGTTTCCATTTGTTGGTTTGTTTTAATCCTACTGTATAAAAGTTTTTTTTGGCACCTCAACAAAATCCTATCCGATGATTAAAGGAGCTAAAGGTTCATAAAGCAAAAATGTTATTGGAAGTTAAACTTGCCAGGGTGTACTTGCAAACCCAACTCAGTCACAGTCACCACATGATGCAAAAGCCATGCTAACAAAACAAAGAGAAAACAATGAACAATTAGTGCCAACACCTCATCATCTTAGACGGTCAGTAAGAAGTGCGTCCAGTCCCTAATTGATTTCTTCTTTGCTGTTTGTGGAATAAAATATGTCACTGAAAGTGCCTTTGCTGTCCCAGACTGAGGAAGACATAATGAACTCTGGCTGGCCAGATTATGCTGCGACATCTGAAGGTTTGCAAAAAAAACAAAAATAAAAATAAAATACAACAGCTCTTGTCTGGTTTTCCCTAGTCAACTTTAATTACTGTGAGGCTGGGTGCAGCGGGATAACTGTTTCCTGTCCGCTTCAGTGCTGAAAGGAACACAAGCCCCCGCTGCCTTTTATGTTTACACTCTGAGGTCTGCAGCCTGTTCTTACTCACCCACTGGAAAAGATTTGTTGCAATGGCCAGTTTGATGTTTTGTGCTCGACTCCCAAAGTCCCAATTTGAAGTTTGTTCTCGTCCACTTAAGGAGACATTTCATTTTTCCTTTAATTTAAAAAAATGTTCTGAATGCAAAGCGACATGACAAGGACTACGAGGTTGCCTAACATAAGTCCCGCGTGTGCGACACTCTTTGGGCTGTGTCAGTGGACAAGGTCAGCTCAGCTAAACGAACCAGCTGCCAGCCAGTCAGTTCAGGGTAAAGTTTTAAGCACGTAACGTGTACAAACCAAAGGCAGGCTTGACATCTGAAGTGAGGGTAACAAGTACTTGGTCTTGAAATGGTGCATGGAATTTAATCTTGTTAGGCAAATTTGAACTGGGCAGTTGTCCATAATGACCCAATGGAAAGTCATAGAAAAATATCTTTGGGTGACACTGTCCAGCCCAAGATGTTCTGCCTATCTGAGCATCATTACTGGCTGGGACTGGAAAACAGAGCCTGCTCCCACCCTGGCCCCCGTGGTTCAAGGCTGCCTTAGGAAAACACCAGCAAAAGAATCCACGGGATCCATACAGTGAACATTTCTTCATAAATCCTTAACATGGTAGAAAATTTGCTCCTCATTTTTCTGGGTAAGCCCTGGAAAGCCGTGTCTAGGAACACAGTATGAACTTGTTCCCAGACAGGTGGGAGAGGGGTGGGGAAGATGAAGGTGTTGGCGAGAATTTGGGTGCAAAATGTCCCATCTAGGAACACGGTATGAAATAAAGTAATTCTCAGTCATTCATTTTATGAGGGATGAGCAGAGAGATGTCATAGAAACAGAAATCCCCAGGACTCTCCTGCTTTAACCATTAGTTTGCAAAATAAACATTTTAATCCAAGTTTCTACTGGAGAATAAAATAAATTAAGTATCTACTCTTCTGTGGAGTTAACAATAGTGAAGCAACCCAAAGGGAGAAAACAAGAGATTCCGGGCCAGGCAAGAATCCCAAATAACAAACAGAATGATCAGTCGTCACTCAAGGGCAGGCTAGAACGGTCCAACTAAAGCAAAGACTTTATTCTGACAGTCCTATGAAAGCAGTGTTTTGGCAAGTGTGAACAGATGTTTTCCCAAGGATCAAATGGGGAATGATGTAAAATCAGCTCCATTTAGCTGTGAGAAGAAATCTTTCCTAGTCATCTATCGTTAACTTAAAAGTTGCTTTATATAAAAGATAAAATGCAAATCAACCATCTACATATGATAGAGAACAAACTGGTAAATGACATTGTTATCCTCACCAGAAAATCAAATGAAAAGAATACTGACCCTCCGCTTCTGAGATGAGATGGCAAGGATGTTGCCCCTTTGCACATTTCTGGCTCCTTGATTTCACTGAAGCCTCCATCATAAGTTAGCTGAAGTGGGTGACTCTTGAAGTGGCCAATGGCCTTTGATTCTGTTAAATAAATCCCATTGACTTTCACCACAGAGTCCCCCATCCTAACTGTTTCTTTGGATTCCACTGTCTTCTTTCCTGTAATAACCAAGGAAGTGTTCTGTCAAAGCATTTCTTATTTTTGGAATCACTATCTTTGAATATTGTTTCAATCGAAGAATGTACACAATTTAAAAAGTATATATTGCTTAGAATTATGGATAAAACCTTCCTGAACATATAAGACTTCACCACTATTTTAGGCTTGGCATCATCAATTCAGCAGGTAAAAATGAATAGAATCTTATTTCTATTAGTTTGGAGTCTACCTAAGCCTTAGGTCCTAATGCAAACACTTAAATTTAGGCTTATGAACTACTTAATTCCATGTATATACTCTGCATCCCATAACAGTTACTCCTATTCCTAAATTTGATCCTGTTAGTAATTTTTGCTTAAAAACATATTTATTGAGTGCCCCCTGATGCCAGGAACTGTGCCAGGCACTTAGGGTGTATCAGTGACCAACAAAGACCGCTGACCTCACAGGGCTTACATCCGAACAGGTGTAAATAGACAATAAGTAATGCACCGTAACAAATCAGGTGGATAAGATAAGTGCTATGCAAAAGAGCAAGAGCAGAAAAGTAGAGAAGGGCAAGGGGACTGGGAATGGGGCAGGTAGCAATTTTGAGCAGTGTGGCCTTGGTAGACCCTTAAAGGGGGTGAGCACCTGACCAGCAGACGCGGAGGAGCAGTACTGCCAGCAGGGGGATTGCAGAGGTGGAGGCCCTAAGGCAGGAGAGTGCCCGCCATGCTGAGGAACAGCAGGAGTGGAGTGTGAGGGGCAGGAGAGGAGAAAAGGCAACCAGAGAGGCCGGGGCTTGGTGGTGGAGGCTGGCAGACCATTACTAGGTGATGTACAGAGGGGTGCACTGAAAACCCTACAAGGCTTTCTAAAGGGGGATTAGACAGAGTTGCAAAATGATGTCCATACCCTGCACTGAAATGCCTATCTTGTTGCAGAACCTGACTTACAATACGGCACTGCTTCTTAATTAGCAGCTGGCATTAGGAATAGTTTATCCATGATGCTGCTACTATGCTCTCGTCTGTGATAAAATATTTTTTCCAAGGGAAAGGGCGGATGAGCTTCATATAGAAAAATACTGTTTTGCAACCTTTTTCCAAAACAACTCAAGGTTTCCTTTTCTGCACTTGAACCAACAAACCAATAAAAACCAACAACAAAACCACCTAGTCTACTCCTCCGACCAAACTCCTCGCTTCCGAAACACTGAGTTTTAAAGCTGAAAGACACCTGAGATTAGCCAGTCTAACCTTCACTTTTCAGATGAGAAAACAGAGAACTGAGAAGGTTAAGTGCCTAGTTTAAGGTAACAGAGGAAGTTCGGGGAGAGCAGGACTATACAGTGGGAAGAGAGGCGGCCTTGCATTTCAGATTTGGGGTTGTGAACAGGCTGTGACTTGGGCAGGCCACTCAACGTTTCTCCCACCTTCCTCAGTGGTCCCCACCTCTTGGGGATGTGGTGAGAATTAAACGATATGGCCTAGTGACTTAAATGGTGCCAGCATACTCAACACCTAGAAGTTACTGTCGTTATTAATGAAACGCAAGAATCCCGACCGCGGTCCAGGGCTCTCTCCATGGCACCATGCTACCTCAAACATCTTTACTACTGAATCACAAAGCATCTGCAGCCTGTGCCTATATTTTAGCATTTGTTTCTTTCATTCATTCAGTCCATAAATAGTTATTCAGCACCTGCTGCTGTGGGCCAGGTGCTGTTCCGGTGCCGGTGGTCCAGTGGTGAACAAGAAGTCCCGGGGTCACGGGCCCCGGTTCTAGAAGGGGACACACACCCACACTCACGGGTGACGGAGCTGCAGCCCCTTTCTCTGCACAGTCTCCGGGGTGAGCTCTCAGTTACGGCTGCAGGGAGGAGTGCCGGCTCAGTCCCGCTCCGGGGAGTGCTGCCGTGACACTGGGCGTGGGCCATGATGCTTGCCCGTCTCGGGCAGATCCCTGCAGCACACTGTGCTCTCTGCAATGGGTCTCGGGCAAGCCGCAAAAGGACTCTACAACCAGTAGCATTGCCATGCAGGAGCAGTTCTGTTCTACAGAGATTTCTTTAGCACCTACTATATACCAGACCCTGTTCTAGGCTCTCGGGCTACAATTAGAGAAAATGTCTTTACCTACCGAAGTCACTCAGTCTAGTAGGGGAGACCAAGAAGCAGACGTGGGTACAGACAGAAGTGCACCGGTCCGAGCCAGGTGAGGATGCTGGAGCGAACGGGAAATCCTGAGGGGCTGGGAGTTGGTTGGGGCAAGATTTGTAGAGGAGGTAGAGCCTGCGAAGTTTTGAAGGGTTAGCAGGAGGCAGAAAGGAATTCTGAGAAGAAGGCACCAAAGCCTTGCATCCACGCCAGCTTCGTGTGTGCAAGCTGGACAGTCAAGCAGGCCCCTGCTGAGAAGGGCCCCTACTGGTTTCATGCTTTGCTGTTGCCATCTTGAAATTCTGAATTATGTTTGAACAAAGAACTCTGCATTCTCATTTTGCACTAGGGAGAACCAATTATACAGCAGGTCCTGCAGGAGGCTGAAGTAGCGGGGGGTGGGGGGTGCAGGGAAAAGCCAGGAGTCCCACATTGCTGGTGCACAGCCTGTGGGGTGGGGAGGCAGGGGAGAGTGTGGAGGAGGCCTGGAAAGTGAGGCTGGGGCCCGAGCACAAGGAGCTGCACAGCAAGGAGCAGGGACGTCATCCCCAAGGCCAGGAGTCAGCTAACTACCAATCCTGGCCTGCCTCCCGCTCGGCATGGCCTGCAAGCTGAGAATGTTTTTTTTTTTATCCTCACCCGAGGAATTTTTCCATTTTTTGTACAGATAGAGTGGGAGGGAGAGAGAGGAAGGGAGAGAGAGAGAAACATCGACGTGAAAGGGACACATCGAGTGGCTGCCACCCGCACGACCAACCAGGGCCGGGGACAAACTGCAACCGAAGTACGTGCCCTTAGCGGGAACCGAACCTGGGTCTCTCCAGACCGCAGGCCGACGCTCTAACCGCTGAGCCAAACTGGCCAGGGCTGAGAATGGTTTTTATATTTTTTAATTGTTGGGGGTAAAAATCAAAAGACAAAACATATTTTGTAACATGATAATTATATGAAATTCAGATTCCGCTGGCCATAAATCAATCGATGGTTGCTTCCCGCTACGATGGCAGGGCTGAACAGAGACTGTTCGGCCTGCAAGGTCTGAAATATTTACTATCTGGCCCTTCGCAGAAAAAGTCTGCCAACTTCTGTGCTAGGTCAGTGTTTTCCAAACTGTGTTCCCCAAAAGACAGATCTCACAGCCAACTAGATTTGTGAAACGCTGGGTTGAATGAAAACTAAACAGGTTTCTTTACCAGATGGCTTTACCAACCCTTTAAATATGTTCAAGTGTATTGCGACTCTCCGAGAGGGAGAGAAAGTAGGCAGACTTATTTCAGCACTGAACCCCTTTTCCAAGGAAAAGCTATTAATATTTAGCTACAAGTTCCCTGGAACTCAGTTTGGCAAACACTCCTTTAGGCACAGGGGGCCCTCTGGAGGGCTTTTAGCAAGAAGATGACGCAATCTGATTTTTGTTTGCTTCCTGACCTCTTGTCCCTTACGGCACACACAGAAAATGATTTTTCACAGTCCAATCAGATAAAGGGATAAGGCCACTACTCAAAGCCATGTCTGGTTGGGAGGTTGGCTTCCCAAGACTTTGCTGGCTGCTCCAAGGGCTGAGCGTCCTTGGCTTGACCCGCCTGACCCGCTTGCAGCCCGTGCAGGGGCCGAGGAAGACGGGCGGGCTGGAAGACCAGGGACAGGCAAGCGGTGGGAAAGGAGAACACAGACCTCGGAAGTACTCAGAAAGCCCGTTTATGAAGCTGTGGAGGGCGAGGTGATGGCAGAGATGAGAGGGTGGAGACTGCACGGAGTTCTCTGTCTGGCTTGAACAACCGGGGTGGGTCAGCAACACTGCCCCCTCTAGCCAAAACCCTACCTGGAACACAGAGCAATTAACGCCTGGGCCTATGAAGATGACTACACACATCTCTTCCTCTTTCATTTTCTTAAATCAGAAATTCCGAACCTGTCACCCCACCCCTAGTCCTGCCTGTGGCAGTGTCAGCTGCAAATGACTTCACACCAAAGGGAGGGACACACCTCTGTCTCCATGCACACAGTTGCCTTTGCAATTACCCAATAAGGGATCCTTCTCTAAACAACAGAGACTGCAACAAGCCCAGGGAGCCGGGCTTGACAATGATTGCACGGCGGGAGCGCCACAATATATTTAATTGGGCAATGTGCGCTTTTAAAATGATAATGACTTTTTACTGCCATTGTTTCCTGAGTGCTGACACAGACCTCAGGGATGATGGAAGTGGTGGAGTGGGGCAATGGCAAACAGGGTGGATAAAAGAACCGCAGCAAAGACTTGCTTCGGTGCAGCTTGGAGGCGTGAAGGTGGCCTTAGTGCTGGGACACGACACCTCCCAGAGCATAGCTAGGGTGCCGTGGCCAAGGGCCGGGAGGCCCAGGAGGGAAGGAGCAAAGCCATGAGGGAAGCAGAGAAGATGAGGCTGGTGGATGACATGTCTACCTCTTCAGTCACCTTCACAGGACATGCAGAGCTCAGCAAGCGGCAGGGTTCTCAGCGTGAGTTACCAAGAGTTAAATGCATTAAGCACGGATGCGCATTCAGGTTCAGAAGCAAAACCATCTAATGAACAGCTGTTTAGTAACGCACATCAGTTCTGTCATCCTGTTCATAAGAAGCAACCCTGTTCCTATCTGCGTCTGACCTCACCCCCAACCTTGGGCTCCAGATCCCACCCCTCTCACCTTGTCAAGGACTCACTCCTGCAGCTACCAATCCTTTTGGTGAACTGGTCTGACCTGGGCCCCAGTGCAGAACTCTGAAAGTTCCTCGGGTGATTGTAATGTGCAGCTACTGTCGAGAAACATAAGTTGGATGACATTTCTCCCTTGCTTAAAACCAGCCCTGGCTTTTCACTGCAAGCAGAAGAAAGTCCGGGCCGTTTCTCCCTGGCCCTGCAGGGCCCTTGACTCAGCCCCCTCCACTGGCCTTCGGGTCCTCCGCCGCGGAGACTGCTCCCACCTCGGGCCTGCTGTCCCTTCAGTGTGGCTACCTTCTGCTCATCATTCACATTTCAACGCAGGTGCCACCTCCCCGGGGCACCTCCCAGAGCCATGGGCGAATGCAGAATCCTCCTGCTGGACACTCGCCATCCCTCCATCTTGCATCTCTTCTTCACAGCACTGTCAGAACTCAAACTATCTTATTTGTTTGGACAAATAAGATGGACAGGAACTGTCCATCTCCCCTCAATGGATTGTAAGTTCTTTGAGGACAGGACTCTGGTGGCCTAAAATGGTGCCTGGCACTTAGTAGGGACACAGATTGGGACATCAAGGTAAAGCAAGTTGCCTAATTACATCCAGTTGTCCCTCCATATCTGTACGTTCTGCATCTGCAGATTCAACCAAACTCGGATCCAAAATATTCAGAAAAAAATGTTACATTGTTGCTGATGTTGTACTACATTATTAAGTCTATGACTGTTGCATCTACAGACCTTTTTCTTGTCATTATTCCCTAAACAATACAGTAGAACAACTATTTGCATAGCACTTACATTGTACTTATTGTCTATTAGAAGTAATCCAGACATGATTTAAAGCATACATGAGGATTGCACAGGTATATGCAAATACTATGCCCCTTATATAAGGGACTTGAGCACGTGTGAATTTTGGTATCTGCACGGGGTTCCTAGAACCAATCCCCCACTGACACTGAGGGACGACTGTACTCATTACAGCTTCACTGTGTGACACACACACCCTGGGCTGCCTGTCTTCTCCTTTCTCCCTCTTCAGCTATGTCAGGGATCACTATGGACCACAGGAACCAGACCGGAAGACGAGTGGAGTGGGCTGGGAGACATGGGGACAGCAGATCACACCCTGAGCTACAGAGGGTGCATGCATCCAGCTCCAATCATTCCTGTGGGGGCTCCGCAGAAAGGGCGACCAGAGACCTTTAGATTTTTCCTAAGAAGTAATAAATATGGACTCTTTGTTGAGATCTACATTTAAATGTTGGTGAATAAAATAAAATGCTTGTGTGTGAAATAAGTAGGACGCTCAGGTGGCACCTGCAACCTCTGGCATCCGCCCTCAGATGATCTCCGCTGTGACCACCGACCCACCCTCTTCCTCGGTGCTTAGGCCGAGGGCGGGCTCTGCCAGCCCCTGGCAGGTGGTTTCTCAACTGTTCTGACTACATACAGTAATAATAAATTTATAATACAATTTAATATAAATGTACTATATGATAAACTTATAATATGGCCCTGAACACACATGTATGTGCCTGAAGTAAAGTCTCTTGAAGCAATACTTACCCTTATTGTCTGCAGTGTACCCTGATATTGTCTATTATTTTTTTAAAATGCTGGCGTGATCCACTAAATTGTCATCCCAATAATGGGGCACATTCTCTGCAGTTTGTAAAACTCTTAGCATGCTCTGGACAGGGTACGATTCCAACTGTTGGGGCCGCTCCTCAGAATTCCAGGTTTTTAGTCTCTCTGTTCCTAGGTTTAGATACCCTGCCAGCAATTCTGACAGTAGGAAAAGCCCCATTCAAGGTTTGTTTATATTTTCCCACAGGATCAGATAGGTATTTTCAAAGACTCTAGCTTAGTGTACATTCTATGAATCTTAAATATGACTAATGAAATTAACAACTCCTTAAACTCTAATTTAAAAATCATTTATCCAATATTGATAAACTCATTCATTAGAAAATACTTACCCTAATATTCTTTTTCTACCAGGTAATGGTTTTTTTGAAAACTGTGATATTTATGTATTCTTTGAAAACACCCAGAAAAATATTTGAACAATATTTCTTACCCAGCTTTTGCACCATATTAACTAAGTCTTAGTTAATGTAAAAATCATGTGGGGTTTGAAAAAATTATACAAAAATAGCTTTTGCGTGTAGATTCAAGAGACATGCCTGCCCCCAGGTTTTAAAGATCATTACTTGGCCTTACGCTCGGCGGGAGTGAGGGTCCTGTCCGGCAGCAGAGCCGCCTGGGAGGCCGCCCTGAATAAACGTGCCCGGGCACTGCTTATTCTTCTCATCTTCGCGGGGTCCACCGGGGGTCTGGGAAGGGAAAGGCAGGGATCCTCCTCTGTGGTGGGAGGTGCCGGAACTTTTGGTTTCTGGAAAGAGATTTTTTATTTTATTTTATTTTATTTTTTTATCCTCACCCGAGGACACTTTTTCATTCTTTGTTCAGATAGAGCAGGAGGGAGAGAGAGAAAGAGGGAAACATCGATGTGAAAGGGACACATCGAGTGGCTGCCACCCGCAAGACCAACCAGGGCCGGGGACAAACTGCAACCGAGGTACATGCCCTTAGCGGGAACCGAACCCAGGTCTCTCCGGACCACAGGCCGACGCTCTAACCGCTGAGCCAAACCGGCCAGGGCTGGAAAGAGATTTTTTAAATGACTGGCATGAGTTTCTGTGTCTCAAATAAGACTAGCACCCTGGAGCTGGCCCTGGCACTTCCAGATGGGCACAGACAGGGCTTTCTGCCTGGCTTCATCCCAGCCCCTGGACTCTGGTCTCACTGGCCCATCTACTTTAATGCTCTATAGATAACGCTTTTTCATTGCTTTTGTCAAATATAGTGTATTAAATACTCTACTGTCCTGCTCAGCGTATTTTAAAAACCCACAGTTTATGCTGGCAAACAGTTATCTGTATAAGAAACTAAAGAATGTGTTAGAGTATACTCAACATGCTTTGCAAATTATTGTGTTCAGTTCAACTCAGAAAACATTGGGCACCTATGTGATATGTGTCAAGAACTATGTGGAACCTAAATACCACCATTACACATTTGGGACTCCACAAAGTACTTTTTTAATGATATAAAATTTTAAAAAAATTAAAATCACAAAACATAAGAGCAAGAAGTTGTCTTGGACTTATGATATAAACATGCTTTATATTCTGTATCTCCAGAATTCAATGCTGATAGCCTTAGAAAAGAAATATTACTGGCAAAATTCCAATTCCTTAAAGACTTTTGAAAATACCTGCATGGAGCCCTGTACCACCCAGAGCACCCTCTGGTCTCACCTCCGGGTGGCAGTGGCCTCTGACCCAGGGTGAGAACCTCACAGAGGCCTCAACTCCCACTTTTAGTGTTGCCTGGTGGTCGATGCTCTCTCCCTCCAACATTGACCATTATCTGTCTGTGAAAGAGCAAACTTTTTGCAGCAAGTAGTTTTTAGCTCTCTAACCAAAAATAATCGAGTTTGAGTTCCTCAAGTCACTTATATAATATGTGAAATGAGTGACTCTCAATCCAACAGGTTAATCAACACATTTTTAAAACAATCCAGTGTGGCCTGGCCGGTGGGGCTCAGTGATTGAGCATCAACCCACACACCAAGAGGTCGCCAGTTCAATTCCCGGTCAGGGCACATGCCCAGGTTGTGGGCCTGATTCCCAGTGGGGGACACGCAGGAGGCAGCCAATTGATGTTTCTCTCTCTCGCCCTCTCCTTTCCTCTCTCTCTAAAATCAATTAAAAAAAATGTTTTTAAATAAAACAATCCAGTGTAAAATTCAAGTCAGATAATTAGGAAAAAATGTGCAAAGTCATGTATCATATATGACACATAATATTAAACACATGTTTTCTCATATACATTAAGAAAATATTGGCCTCCATATTAGAGTTCTTTCCAAGAAATTGCTTATTTCAATAACGATGACATTTTTCAAAATATTTTTGTTTTCTTTTTCAGTTATAGTTGACATTCAATATTATTTTATATTAGTTTCAGGTGTACTCAAAATATTTTTATACCCTCTTGTTCATTTGAAATCGGTTCATAAACCACATAAAAATTAGTTATGACTTTAGAAACATATTCTTCTAAACATAGTTAGAAAAATGGTGAACAAAATCATTAGCATGATATAGAGGAGGAGTAAGTGACTTTGAGATCAGCCTGGTCTGGATGGTGGAATCCACTTCCCAGTGAGGTGAACTTGGGCAGGTCATGTACTTCTCTGAACTTGCCCAGCTATCAGCTAGAGACAGTAGTCCCCTTCTTGCAGGGACACTGCCATCCATTCAATCCGTGTTACGGAGGCTCGAGAAATCTAACTCCCTTTCCTGTGTGACTTACTCTTTATTTACCGAATTTGGTCCCAAAGTTACTTTTAAGTCTCAAAGCCAAGGCCCCAGCCGGTGACACAACTTGCTGGGGAAAAGATCCTGAATTCAGAGGCGTCTATTCTGAAGAAGACAACACTCATTTGTCTGTATAAATTCTGCTATATTTGTTTGATAAATAGACACTTTACTTTTTATTCTCCCTAATTTGTTGCAAAATATTCATTAGCATGTGACGTAGGCCATGAAGCTAATAATAACAACAGCAGCAAAAAAGCTAAGAGTATAAATCAGGAAAATAGGTGCATCCGGTATAATAATGGAAGACAAGATACATTAGGATAATTTCAATATGAATGTAGATACGAGTTTTTCTTATCTCAAAATGTCTGTAGTCTGCAGGTACCTTGAATATGAAACAAAGATCAAGAAGTCTGCCAAATAATAGTAATGAAGATAAAAGTAAAGGTTTTCCCTTATAGCCCTGACCAGTTTGGCTCAGCAGTTGGAGCGTCGGCCTGTGGACCAGAGAGTCCAGGGTTTGGTTCCCGCTAGGGGCACATACCAAAAAAAAAAAAAAAAAAAAAATATATATATATATATATATATATATATATATATATATATATTTTCCTTTACACATGCCTTAACTGTTATAAATACTTTGGGTGCTAAATAAAAGATCTTATAAAAAGGGAACATATAATTTTACAAAGCTAATTTTTACCCAAAAGAGAATAATTGAATTATCTCTGGATGGCAAGATAAAGCCCCTTACGTGCTCCTCGATAGAAGGAGTTCTATATGATAGAACTCATATATGTACAACATTTTTAATTCTTCACGACTAAATAAGCCATCAATTTCTATCATGCCAGGTTCTACAAAATGGTCTTCACTTTGTGGAGTAAAATGGCATTTATAAAACAGAATGGTAAAACTTTCTTCTTACACAATGCATGTCCTTTTAGAATTCAGAGACTGTTTCAAGTGAGTTTCAATCTTCAGTTGAGAACCTTCCTCCCTCATATGTATATTTTTCCTTTTAAATATGTTTTTATTGGTTTTTTAGAGAGAGGAAGGGAGAGAGAGAGAAACATCAATTAGCTGCCTCCTGCGTGCTCCCTATTGGGGATCAAGCCCACAACCCATGCCAGGAATCAAACCAGTGACCTCTTAGTGCATGAGGGTGCTCACTCCACTAAGCCACACCAGCCAGGCCCCCATGTTTTGTGTCATGACACTAAGCAGGGATTCAAGTACAGTCAAGGACACTGGAAAGTCCGAATTTAAGAATTATTCTGGTTGATAACACTGCTAGAGTCCATTGAAGACTAAAAGACTATTTTCCTATATCAAGCTAATCAAAGAAGACAAAATTCCTCGAGCTTTTAAGGGATCTGGCTGGCCCTGACTCTCCTCCCAGCACGTGGGCCTTGACTGTTTTTGACCTGGCTCCTTGGGATCACCAGATGGGAAGGCAGGGTCTCCCCTATTCTACATGTAGACTGGGAAAAGGACTCTAAGACACCTCACCCCAGAAAGTTGCTATGATTTAATTTGTAAAACAGAACACACACACACTAAAAGATCTCTTGGAAGTAGAAAGCAAATATTAAAAATTCCCCCAAACATACAACCTTTGGATGTGCCATTGTATGTGCATCTCTATGACCACGGTTCTCTGGGCTCCTGTCACTTCCAGCAGGTGACTCACTGCAGTAATGTCAGTGAAAGAAAAACACGGTTTTGACATTCTTACTCTGCCTTCTCTTACCCTGATCTCCTCTGTCCTCTAGGGATATGTGGGCTTCTAAGTCCCCGTCTTTTTATTTTATTTCATTTTATTTTTTTTCCTTTATTGATTTTAGAGAGAGAAGAAGGGAGAGGGAGAGAACATCGACCGGCCGCCTCCTGCATGCCCCCCACTGGGGATCGGGCCCACAGCCCGGGCCTGTGCCCTGACTGGGAATCGAACTGGCGACCTCTTGGTGCATGGGCCGATGCTCAACCACCGAGCCACATCGGCTGGACTATCTTTTTAAAATATATTAAATTTAGTTTTACTTGTCAAATACTTAGAGCTTGGTTTATATAAAATATAAAGATAATGGGTCAAACTACTCTGTGCTGTGAGAAGTCAGGACAGGTGTCACCGTGGGGAGACAGTGTCTGAAGTGCTGTAATAACCTATTTTTTTTTCCTGAACATTGGTTACTGAGTGTGTTGAATCTGTGTAAATTTATCACGCTGTGCTCTTAGGATCTGTGTCTTTTCTGTATGTCAATAACAAGTTTAATAAAAATACTTGGAGCTTAAACAACGAGGCTTTGTAAGGTTAGGAGACATGGGGAGAATCCTGTTTTGACAGTGATAATGAAGACAGACAACATTTCCTATGTGTTCACATGGTCACAGTGCTTTCCCTGCTTCGTACACTCCAAAGCATGAGAGCAGCTGCTCCTGCACAGAAGTCTGAACACCAGCTAACCAGAGCTGCAGAAGGAAGACAGGGGTAATTACACCACACAGTGGCCCCAGCCTCAGCTGCTGGGGAAGGCGGAGAGCTGCTAAGAAGGAAAAAATATGTACCTGGGCATTCCTACTTAGCAGGTAGATGCAAATGTTAATGGAAGACTAAATTGCAGGGTTCCTCTGTCTTACAAGATTGTATGTTCTAATGGGAACCTCGGTGAGCCAGTCAGACCAGCCGGCCAAGGCCTGAGTGGTCAGGACCAGGAGCATCAGCTTTTCATTCTCTGAAGCTCGGGTCATTTCTGAGAGCAGGCAGCCCACAGACAGATCTGAGGGAGAAACAGAGAGGAGAAGGGTCCGTGTACAAATGCAGAGTTGAGTTGATTTGTTAAATGTAGGAGCTGGAATGAGTTGCTCTCTGGGTCCCTCTTCCCTGTCTGACTATTGGTTGAGGAATTATCAGAAGGTAAACTAGCCTGAGAAAATGTCCTAGATGCAAAAAGTACTGAAACTCGCCCTGGCCGGTTTGGCTCAGCAGTTAGAGCGTCGGCCCATGGACCAATGAGTAGCAGGTTCAATTCCGGCCAAGGGCACGTACCTCGGGTGAGGTACCTCGGTTGAAGTTTGTCCCTGGCCCTGGTCGGGGTTGTGCAGGAGGCAACCGGTCAGTGTGTCTCTCTCACATCGATGTTTCTCTCCCTCTCTCTCTATCTGAGTATAAGTAGAAAAATATCCTTGAGTGGGGATTAAAAAAAAAGAAAAAAGTACTTAAACACAGTTAGTTAGATCTTTACAAATTCAGCAAATTTGTGCTCTAACTATTAGATACCCTACTCCCATCTCCCCCTTTACTCTGTCTCCTTTATCCCCTTCCCTCTCCTCCCACCTATTTCCACTTAACTCCTCACGTTGTCCGTTTAGTGGTACCAGAGACGAAGGGTTCACTGAAGGGGAAGCAGAAAGGAGGGAAGGAGGAAAGGAGGCAGAAGGGCAGGCACTATGAGGCCACTTTCAGAATTTTGTGACTGGGAGTTCCAAACTTCATTGTTTAAAATGCAATATACTTAAGACCCTTACATATTCCACTATAACAAAAATATTTCAAACTAAAGGGGGTATTTAACTTAACATGGGTATTTCTTAGCCCATTTTTACTTTGTACACAGCACCCAACCATTCTGCAGGAAGGAAATTGAATAGCAATGACCCTAAACAGAGGCAAATGCCAACATTATCTTTGTCCAACACCCAATCCTACAGTGTCAGCACTGTGCCAGTTTGATAAGGACCAGGTCAACCAGGTCAAGGTGGGGGAGCTGTTGGAGATTTAAAATATGATAGCAGAAATTTAAAAAAAAAACTTCAATAAAAGAATTGGAAAATAAATATCTTCTAAAAACAAACAAACAAAAAAGATGAGAAAATAGGAAAACTAAAGTGCCAGCCCAGGGAATCCCACATCCAAATACTAATAAATTCCAGAAAGAGCAAACAGAACAAAAAAGAGGGAGGACATATCAAAATAATTCAAGGGCATTTCCCAGAGCTGAAGGGCACAAGATTTCTCATTGAAAGTGTCCAGCATGATGGATGAAAATGGACTAACACAAAGGCCCATTACTGTATCATAAAGTTTCAGAACACTGGGAACAAAGAAAAATCCTACATACTTCCAGAGAAAAAAACAGCAAAGTCTCAAATAATTTATTTCCTATACACCCTTTCTTAAGAAGTTATTGGAGGGAGTGCTCCACCAAACAAGAGTAAATCAAGAAAAAGAAGGACTTTGGTTACAGGAGACAAGACCTCCAGCGCCGGAGGGAGAAGCCAGCTGGGTGCCAGATGCCCAGGGCAAGAGGTCCAGGTAGGAGGGTGGAAAATTCTCCAAGGAGGTGAATCAACAGACTACCTCATGTGCCTGAATATATGAAGGTGATTTAGAGCACTGGGGAAGCGTTTGGGGTTAAAATAGTAATAAGACAAACCTAAAAAAGCAAGGCAATTGTTAATGCCAGGGAAAACAAAAAGCGCTGAAGAGAAGAAGAAGTAATCATCATTAATCATCACTAGTTCAAGGCTCAGCTGTAAACAGGGTTTAAATAATCAGAGAAAAGGGATCTAACCAAAATTATGATGTATCTACGCTGGGAGTAGCAGTGGGGACAGAGAGAGTGAATGTGTTGTGAGGAGGAGTGGGAGGACAGACAAGGGTTAAATGTTCATCTTCCTTACTGGGAATTCATTCGATAATTCCTCAAGCTCCTAAGTCAGAACCAGCAAGACGCTATTTAGAAATTTGGATGTAAATACAAAAAAAAAAAAAAAAATATGCCAAAAGAATCTAACGTGAGAGCCACTGGGGAGGGGAGAATGAAGAATAAGGGGATAGGAGACTGCCGGTGGTGTGTTGATAGCAAATCTTTGACTCTTTATGTACATGTATTTATTTGTATATAACTATTAAAAATAAAATAATATATATGCATAACTTTTTTGAATTAAAAAAATACTATGAAACATTTTGTTTGCCAGGTCACTCGGTATTTCTAAAATTCTTCATTATTTAACTACCAGTAAATAGAAATGTTTTACTAGATACTAACCATTATATTTGAAAAAGTATGAAAGAGTTTGCTTCTATATTAAATTTTTTTTTTTATTGAATGCTTTTATGTGCCAGGCTCTATGCTAAGGACTTTACTTGTAGTATCTCATTTAGTCTTCAAAGCAACACTAAGAACCCAGGTACTGTTTTTATCTCTGCATACAAGTTATTTGTGGATATATAATTTGCAAATATTTTCCACCAGTCTATAGTTTGTTTTTTTCATTTTATTTACAATATCTTTACTAGAGCAAAGATTTAAAATTTTTTAGGTCTAATTTATCAATTTTTCTTTTTTTTAATTATTATTTTATTTTTGTACAGATGTTTCTCCTTTTTTTCCCCATTGACACCCCCCCACCAATCCATCCCTGGCTTTGTTGTCCGTGTCCATTGGTTATGCTTCTATATTAAATTATTAGTACATTTAAGACCCAGAAACATGGAAGTAGGGCACAGACTGACATCCCTCAGAAGAGGGGGTGGGGGTGGGAGGGAAGAGATAAACCACAGAACTTATATGCATGTATGCATGACCAATGGACACGGACAATAAAGCTGGGGATGGGGCGGGGGGGATGGGGAGGGGGTGCCAATGGGGTAAAAAAGGAGAAACATTTGTAACAAAAAAAAATTAAAAATTAAAAAAAAAATTATTAGTACATTTAGATCTATGTGATCATTTTCTTAGCATATATAAGTGCTGATTCCAAGTTTTGGGGGCAATTCCATTTCACAGCACTCGTGATGTTAGAAAGTACTCACAAGCTCCAGAGGGCTGAGACGTGTGCCAGAAATGGGCCTGGAATCGGATGACTCAAAACTGGACGCGTGGAGGCTAGCACAGGAGACGGAACAGAAATATTAGTTTGTGGAGAACTGTTTCTTTCATTTCTATATATATATGAGTTAATTCTAGCCCAAAACAAAAGCCTTCAATGCATTAAGTCTTGAGGAAGAAGAAGCTTTAACAAATCATAGTACTTAAATCATTTTATTAATAAGTCTTTTCATTGCTTTTAGGAGAATTAAAAATATTGAAAAATGGAAAGAAGAAATGTATATAATGATTGTTTTAAAGCCTTTGTTCATACTGCTTTATAAAGTAGAAATTATTGACCATTGCAAACCAACTTCTTAGACCCAAAGTCTGGAATTATCTTTGGGTGTCCTGAACAGATACAAGAGGTATAATTGGTAAAATTAGCAGAAGTCGAAGGGGAAAGGTCTGGTGGCTTACATATCTGAATGTACAGGCAAGAGAAATATCATGTACCTGAAGGAGGAAGGGGGTCTATTTTCTGGTGCCCTTGAAGATGCAGGTCCAAATAGTTTTCTTTGGTTTTCCTGTGGTGTAAATGGTCTTTGGGTCCCAACTGTTCTTAATGCATTTCGTGCTTCACTTATGATTTCTGCACTGGTCTTCTGCTTGGCCACTGAAGGTCGATAAAACGGATCCAGCTTCTCTAACTTTTTATCATTTGGAGATAGCATCTTTCCTTTTAAAGTAAACTGTTCTTCAGCTAGACACCAAATCCTACAAATATATGGTACAAAATATCAACTATTTTCATCAGTAGTTTAGAAAGGAGTGCTTAAATCCATCCATATGTGCTTAAACCACCCCTCTATATTAAACTTGAAACAACGATAAATAAATTTGCATTAAAAATCTAGCAGGCAGTTATAGTTAGACAATCAGGGTGGGAGAAGAGCTTTCAAAGATATAGGTTGATGGGCACACTTGTGCCTATGGGAACACATGTGATTGAGGAAAGTGATGTGCAGGAAAGAGACCCGGAATGAAAGCTAAAACTGGAAAGAAACAGGACAAGTCATGAAAGAAGATGGACTACCCCACCCCAAATACGGGGCAGGGGGGTGGAGTTCTGTTAAAATTTTAAACTAAAGTTTCCTTTTATTTCCTACTGCCCCTCACAAATGTTAAATTTAGATAAACAGGGTCCATTTCCAAACTATACTTGCTTTTTTTTTTTAAATATTGATTTTAGAGAGAGAGAGGGGTAGGAAGAGGGAAAGAGATAGAAACATTGATGAGAGAGAACATCAATTGGCCACCTCCTGCATGCCCCCCACTGAGGGTCTGGTCCACAGCCTGGGCATGTGGTGACCTCTTGATGCATGGGTCGATGCTCAACCACTGAGCCACACTGGCGGGCTATATTTGCTTTTATAAATATAATTTGTAAACTCAGAGAAAGGTTCAACCCCACATTTGCCAATATATTTGAATGGATTGATTCACATCACTTTCAACATGAAACAGTGCCCTCGATGAACAAATGCCAAATATCAGTATCAAAAGATCCCTTCCCAGACCACCTAACCTCAGTTACAGTTCAAGTCATACCCAGGAGCCTGGAGAATGCAGATCCTTCTTAAATGCCGGTATGTCCCATGGAGACCTGGTTAACTTGGCAAGACACCTCTGACAGCTCTAAACTTTAAATAGTCAAGATTTTCAAAACTTAATTCTAATTAGTATAGATCATTAGGTATTCAGTAAAAACAAAAACAAAACAACTCTAATTCCCTGAAAACGTTATAACTCTAGGGAGACAGAGGTCTGGAAGTTATTCATATGGTTTAGCTGCCCAATTTTATTTTTTAATTTTTTTTTTTTATCCTCACCCGAGGACATTTTTCCATTTTTTGTACAGGTAGAGTGGGAGGGAGAGAGAGGAACAGAGAGAGAGAGAGAAACATCGATGTGAAAGGAACACATCGAGCGGCTGCCACCCGCACAACCAACCAGGGCCGGGGACAAACTGCAACCGAGGCACGTGCCCTTAGCGGGAACCGAACCCGGGTCTCTCAGGACCGCAGGCCGATGCTCTAACCGCTGAGCCAAACCGGCCAGGGCGAGCTGCCCAATTTTAGAATAATCTACCAAAAACAAAAAAACTGGCGACATGCCAAAGGAAGCTAAAAAGACTCCATTTCCATAAGCAGAATCCACAGGTGATTTCTCAGACAAAGATTTACCATTTCGTGATTTTATACATTAAGTTGTTACAACCGACAACCAGAACACTTGCTTAGTTCCACTCAGGCCTCCTAAGAGTTTTTTGTGGAAAAGAGTATGATGAAAACTACAAACAATATGCCATTCCTTTCATATGCAAAGGCCAGGTGTTGAGGTAAACAGTTCAAAAAAAGTACTAGATAAGCAATGCTATTCTAGGAATTGTTGAAGTAGGAGTTTGAATTTAAGCCAAGTCTCCAAAATTACTTTAAACTAAAACAACTAACAGAATATATGACAGGCCTGATACATTTTACTTCTAATATGATATGACATGATTGGCTCTTTATTAAAAAATATTCAATGATAATTATCAAAATGTGTATAAAGTATGTTAAATACACATGTGGATTATTTTTATTTTTTTTATCCTCACCCGAGGATATTTTTCCATTTTTTGTACAGATAGAGTGGGAGGGAGAGAGAAGAAGGGAGAGAGAGAGAAACATCGACGTGAAGGGACACATCGAGTGGCTGCCACCCGCACGACCAACCAGGGCCGGGGACAAACTGCAACCGAAATACGTGCCCTTAGCGGGAACCGAACCCGGGTCTCTCCGGACCGCAGGCCGACGCTCTAACCGCTGAGCCAAACTGGCCAGGGCACATGTGGATTATTTTTAGATGCATAATAATATAAATTCATTCCCACAATATCTAACTTAAGTGGCCATGATAGGTTTGTTTTTGGTTGTTGCTTTTTAAAGTTTGTTTTTTTTTCCTCACTGATTTTGAGAGAGAGAGCAAGGGAGAGGGACCTAGAGAGAGAAACATCAGTATGAAAGCAGAACATCATGGGCTGCCTCCGGCACTCCCCGACCAGGGATCGAGCCCACAACCTGGACCTGTGCCCTGATGAGAAATCCAACTGGTAACCTTTTGGTGCATGGGATGACGTTCAACCCACTGAGCCACACAGGCCAGGGCAGGTTTGTTGGTTTTTGAAAGGCCCGCTGCTGTAAGAAATTACACCACTCAGTGAGAACAGCTTCAGTACAATGAACAAGTTTCTTCCAGAACCCAAATCATGTTTGTGACTCACATGTCACTAACAAGTCTAGCCATGTCCAACGGTATCTGACAAACCTAATGAAGACGAGAGAAAGGGCTCTGGGTGAGTAATACTGGACCATCATTCCTGACTAATGCATCATTCCTCCCTGGCTGTATTAGTTTGCAACGAAAACTTTACTCAAGTCAAATTCTAGGAAGTCTGTAAATGATTTGGGCATGCAGGAGTTCAGACTGACTAAATAGTGATGGACACAATGCAAATAATGGACTTGAAAATTTTTTGTGTCTCTCAATTTTTACCACAAATTATAACACAACTTTCTCACCTTTCCTCTCTCTTCCCCTCAAATCTCACTTCAATGGTTATATTGTAAAGAACTGTTTTAATAATGTTGGATCTGCACAGTCAATCTATTATTATATTAATATTAGTTATTATTAACTAAATCAAACATGGAAATGTTCAATAACACAAGAGAACTGAGTTAGAAGTGGGTTTTTGGGAGGGGGGAGATTTTTTTCTTTATTTGTTAAATTAAACGTTCTTATCATAGATGGTTTTTGCCAACTTAAAAAACAATTACTCAGAATTTAAAAGCTTGCCTCTTTATGCCTTCACTGGTTTGGCTCAGCAGTTAGAGCATTGGCCCTCAGACCAGAGTCTCAGGTTCAATTCCAGTCAAGAGCACATACCTCAGTTGAGGTTTGTTCCCGGCCCTGGCAGGGGTCATGTGGGAGGCGAACAGTCGGTGTGTGTCTCTCACATCTATGTTTCTCTCTCTCTCTCTCTCTCTCTTTCTCTGTCTCTCTTCTCTCCCCCTCCCTCCCACTCTACATGAAGATAAATGGAAAAATATCCTTGGGTGAGGATTTAAAAAAAAAAAGCTTGCCTCTTTATAGTAAAGTATCACATCATACTATCACAGAAATTTTAACTTATAAAAATTCTCCTGACAACTGGAACAAATCCATTCAGCTAGAACTGATGAACTGTTTCCTATGTGCAAAGCCCTCTGCTTGGATCTCTGGGAAAACGGATGGGAATAAATCCTAGCTTCACTCTCGGGCAAGAAGGACCACTAATGCTAGTTAAACATTTATTTTAATACCAAGCACTGTGTTAAGTACTCTCAGTACATCATCTCATTTAATCCCCATAATAATTCTGTGAGGCAGACAGAGTCTTAAGCAATAGCAAAAAAAAAGCTATGATTTATGCCCAGAGATGAAATTCAAACTATTACCTGCTAGATGGGGTGGTAGGAGGTGGGGCACTCAGAGGCCTTGGGGCTGCAGCTATCTACACACCAATACAGAGACATGCCAGTATTTTTACAACTGGAGTGGACTTCTTGGTGTGTACCAGCTGCGTATCAACCCTATTTGTATCCAAATGATTTTAATGCAAGGTAGAAACTGATGGGGTAATTTAAAAAATTAAACCTCCATGTGATTACAAAAGGGGCGGGGACTTCTGATTGGGAGAAGGTAGACTTCTTGGAGGAGATGACACTTGTTCTGGGTACTGGAAAAATGGGCTGAATTTAAATAAGTGGCAATGGCTGACATTGGGGTTGGCATAAAGAAGGAATTTCCAGCAAAGTCAGTGAGTGAGCCAAGGCAGAGTGCCAAGAACATATAGGGTGTGTGCCGGATAAGAAGGAGCTCTGGAAACGAAGACTGGAGTGGGACTAGAGAGAGAACTGAATGGCAGGCCAAGAAATTAAATAAAAGCTGATGGTAAAATGAAAAGATTTTAAGGCATGATGTGATCTGGTAGGGGCTGGCAGGATGGAAAGAAGGGAAAAAACTACAAAGGACAAAATGAAACAGTTCTTATATAATCACTCAGCAAACTCTTAAGAGGTCCTCATGAAAGCTTTCCTGGACATGCCTCCCGCCCTCCCGGCCTCAGTTAGGTGCCTGTCCTCCATACTCCCCAATGTCCCAGTTGGTCTCTGTCAGTACACCTCCCACTGTGCCTGGAGAACTGGTGTTGTCCCACCAGACTCAGAGCCTCAGCTCTTTGTGTGAGGCACAGCTGAAGGTCAACAATTGCTTATAATCGCTGGACTCCATTTTCAAATGGAGCTGAGCTAGGAAATATCCAGACGGAGGCTGCATGGCTACCTTAGCTGGAGACATTTGTAACAGTGGATTAGAAAAGCATATTGGACTTCATTTTAAATGGCATCTGATTCTTGATGAGATAAAATGTATACCATTTTTCCTTTCTTGCCTTCATTTGAGTCACCAGCATGAAGTAAGACTCAATAAATGTTGTGATCAGTGGATGAATTATTGAAAGCCTAAAATACAGGAGTGAAGGTGAAATAACGGGAAGAAGAGAGATATGAATCAGTGAGGAGCACCAAGAGCTCCTCTAGAGAATGAATACCATCAGTAGTAAGAAATTCGAAACTGGAGACTGTTTTAAACAAAATATTTCTGATTGCTTGGTAGAAAAGTTCTGAGTCATTATTTATAAGTTTATACCTAATTATGAAGACGTGTCTTCACCTTTGTGGCTAAAAATCACCTGAATCAGAGCCTTCTTGCTAAATGCAACACAGCAAATATCAAGATGTTCGCAACAGGGAAAAGACTGGCCATTTCCATATTATTTTCCCTGCAAATGAAATACTCAGGACCCTTACCTGATTTTGAATTACTTTTGTGTTAATATGAGCATCCAAAGAGGCAGTGGTTCAGTGCTTAGATGCTGGAGTAAGGGTTCAAATACTCTGACAATTCACAGCTATGTAATCTAGGGCAGGGCATCTAACATCTCTAAGCCTCAATTTCTTCATCTACAAAATAAGTGTAATAATAGCAATTGCCTCATTGAATTATTTTGAAAATTAAATGACATCATTCACATAAAGTGCTTTAGCATGTGCCTGGTCCTTAAAAAACATTAACTACTATCCCAGAGCTATGTGATAAAAGAATACAACAAAAATTTCTCCCATGGGTAAAAAACTGCATTTAAAAAAACAAAACAAAAAAACAAATTGCAAAAGAAAAGAAATAACATTTGCTTGTGTTTTCATACATTTTTATAAATTTTGAATTTAGATGAGGAGTATTTTCCTTTATGAACAAAGATTTTTATTAAGTATTTTATTTAATATCAGTTATGCTGAGTCAACAACTAATCAGAATTTAATAGATTCACAAAATAGGATTCAGATAGAGTGGTACTTGCTTTTCTATCAAGTTAAAGTGATTCCAAATCAGGGTGAGATGGAAGACGTGCTATGTACTTGTGGGAATGAATGATATTTTAATGCATATGGTTACACGTACACTTGTTTATTTACCAAAGCTCTATCTGTTGCATAGAGGAGCCCAGGTACAATTTGTGTGACCTTGGCCAAGTCACTGCCTGCCTAGACTAAGCCCCTTAGTCTATCACACTCTCATTCAACAAATATTAATTACTTTCTGTTACATACCAAGCACTTGGCTAAATGCTCAGTGAATAGATATAAAGACAGCCGGGCCCAACCGCGCGAATATGCAAGGCACTCTCATCACCTCTCCCTCCCTCCTCCCCCAGGAACAAAAAGGAGGACGACAACCGGAGGGGGTCCCTGGTGAACCGCTGGACGCCTCACCTCCCACCTCCCACAGGGAGAGCGGCTCCCCCATCCCAGCAATGCCCCCTCCTCCACCAGTCCAGGCGCAGCAGCATCTTCACCCGCGCGTCCGCCCCACCGGGCCAGCCAACGTCTCCATGGCGACCGTACACAAACTACCTACCCAGGACGCCTGCTGCTGAGCCAGGTCACTGGTGGGCAATCCCGAGGAGCGGGCCAGGGAACGAGTTGGGAGTGGGCGCAGGAAAGGGGGCTCCTAGCCAGACCAAAGCACCTGTGATTAGCGGGAGGCAGTTACAGCGGCAGGGCTTCAATTCATTTTCCAAGTTCCCGCAAGGCAGCGGCCGCGGAGAAGGAGCAGGCGGGGCGGGGCAAAACCAGGCGAGTTGCGGGCAGGGAGGTTCCCCCCTCCCCCCGCCACTGGGTCACTGGGCCGGCGCCCCTCCCACCAACGCATGCGTAGAAATACTGAGGCGTGGGAGTGGGAGGAGCCTGGGCAAGGGCTGGAGGCGGGGAGTGCGAGGATCCCTTGATGAGAGAGAAAGGGTGAGGGCTCCGCGGGACCAACCCCGGAGGGAAGGCGTCTACTTGCAGCAGTTTACCGAGAATCACATTTCAGGAGCCCCTGTGAGACTGCAGCGCCTCTGTGAAATAACAGTGAGAAGGATAGCTGCTCAGTGCTTAGGGGTTGGAGGATTGAGGCCTTCAACTAGTTATTTAACCTCTCAGTCTGTAAAATGGAGGGAAATAATAGTACCAAGCCAGGTCTTGTGGTGGCGAAGACTGAGTGAGAAAATAAATTTAAAACGTGATGCATGTGGGCCCTGGATGGTTCGCTCAGCCACAGAGCCCCAGTTTGGTTCCCGCTAAGGGCACGCGCCTTGGTTGCAGTTTGTCCCCAGCCCCGGTTGGGGTCGTGTGCGCGGCAACCACGGATGTATCTCTCATGTTGATGTTTCTCTCTCTTTTCCTCCCGCTCTCCCTCCTGCTCTATCTCAAGATAAAAATGCAAACAACAACAACAACAAAAGTTATGTGTGTGGCAATCAAGGAAATGCAAAACTGTTGCTATGATTGAGCCCTTGCCTTTGTGCAGTACTTCAGAGATCACGAGGGGTGTTACACTGCGTATTATCCTTTTGAGCACCCCTGCCACTCTGAGCTGGCCGTCTTGACATCCGCATTCATAAGAGACAAAATAGGGGCCGGCCCCAGGTCTAATGAGTGACAATTTAGACTCGCTTCTCGGCCTCCCAATGGCAGTCATTTTTCATTTTTACTGCATCATCACAGTTGATTGGCAAAAAGAACCCCACTTATATATTTCTGGTTTAAATTCTGTTTTCTCCTATTAGCGCATTCAGCAACACTTTACAGTGTTAAACACTAGTGAGACTATAATCACTCTCCACTCGGGTTTCCACCACATCTTACAAATTTGGGGATTTTTCAGCTGAAGTGTTGTTGTCAGCATTGGAAAAATGCCACATCCCTTGGTGCTAAGTATATGGTAAAGAATAATTAAATTGAAAATATTTTTGAGCACACACTAAGTGTTAAGGCATTGTGCTGGGTGGGAAATGATACTAACTTGAACTAAAGGAAAGTCAGTATTTTTCACAGCACTCAACAGGATTTCGAACGTAACAGACAATGCATAATTATTAGTTGATTGGATAATTTGAGGGCCTGAAACAAAGTATTTGTGTTCTTCAGGGTTGAAGTCTTTTTTCCAGTGACTCAACATGAATTATCCCATCAACTCCCTTTTACTGGTCCCCGGACTCCATTGTGCAAAGAGACATTAGCCCATTTAATATAAAACCATAACTAGTATTTTGAATTCACAAGTTGTGAGTATGATCAAAATGGAACTTCATGTCCTTTTTAAATATACTCAGTGTTGTTATCTTCTCTGCCCCTGGATGGAAAGTTGGGTAGACATTTCTATTTTCTGCTCATTTTTAGAAAACCGATAGTCCTATATGGTAACTAAGTGTCAACCACAGCTTTATTCCAAAATTATAATATTGGGTAAACAAATGCTGCAAACTTCATTTGACAGTAGGGCTTCTGCTGCTTCTCCCACATTCCAGCTTAAGGTGTGTAACTGACTTTCCCAGCAGGGGTGCAGTGGCTTAGGCTCCCCACTCCCCAGTCACTGAGGTGGGCAGGAAGTGGGGAGAGGGGAAGCCAGGAGCACTTCCTCCTGGAGTTGATTGGCTTGGGGCTTGCTGTGCCTGGCCCATGGTTAAAGCAATTCATGTGGGTCTTTCCTGTTTCCTTCAGAAGTTTCCCATTAATGAGGACCTCCCTCCCTGAGACTCTTTAGCTGAGTGGAGCACTATTCCACAGTTGCTTTCAACTCCTTCCCTGCCCTAGAAACCCAGGGTTCCCTAGAGCCCCTTTAAATGGGTCCCAAGCCATGGCCGATTTGGCTCAGCGGTTAAAGCGTTGGCCCACAGACCAAGAGAGTCCCAGGTTCGGTTCCCGCTAAGGGCATGTACCTTGGTTGCAGTTTGTCCCCGGCCCCCGTTGGGGTCGTATGGGTGGCAACCAGTCCATGTGTCTCTCTCACATCAATATTTCTCTCTCTCTCTTCCCCACTCTCTCCCTCCCGCTCTATCTGAAGATAAATGCAAAAAATGTCCTCAGGTGAGGATTAAAAAAATAAAAATAAAAAAAATGTGTCCCAAGATGACCTCTTGTCTGGTCCAAGGGGAACCCCACACATCTCTTGACTGAGTGACTCTGAGACTCTAGGCCCATCCCCATGCAGCCTCCTCCATGCTATCACGGGAACCCAGGACAGCCGGGCTGCAGTCCCCTGGACCACCTAACTGCAGTCTCTGGCAGGCCCCCCGGGAAGCCCCTCTCAACAGGTTTGAGATAAATGTGGTGGCATCCCCACACTCCTCTCTAAAGAAATGTCCTCACACATTCTCCCACTTCGCCCTCTGACTCCTTACTTTTAGCCTCAGCCTGGACCCTCAGGTCCAGGGAGTCTACGTTTCTTTGTAACTTGCTCTGTGGAGACTTTGCCTCACCTTCCCTTTGGAACTGATGATTTACAATCACCATTGCAACTGAAACCTTAGTTTAAACACCTGTTGTACAGCCCGTTACTAACTGTGCTCTTGCACCCTAGGATCTTGGTCTAAAATAGACCTCGCAAGCACACTACTGGGACCTGCAGCTAGCCAGCCCAGCCGGCCAGGAAATGTCTGCCAGGCAAGCTAGAACAACCGAAAAGAATGACGAGGGCAGAATGATAGGAAGCAATTATTTAAAGCAATAAAGCTGCCCCATTTACTACACTGAAGGACACAATATGGGAAAATATTGAGGCTATGATATTAGTGGTCTATTATGTTGACCTGGCTATTCCTCCATGGTTACTTAACGGCTATTTAACAGAATATAATAGTTAAGCTTGTAAGTGGAATTCTTTTAGGAACAAATTGTTGACTTTTTGTATACCTTAAAGAGAAAAACAAACTATTGTAAATATGACATTTATAAAACACTATATAATTTCCAAATTGCTTTTATTTGGAGCATTTTATTTTATTGTTTTGTTTGGGGTTTATTGTAAGCCTGAGACATAGTTAGCCCAGAGATTATTATCCCAATTTGAAAACTGAGGTTCAGAGGGGATAGTGATCTGCTCACAGTCACAGGTAGGAAAGTGATCCGAGACCTGGTATTTTCGATGCCCAAGTCCAGTGTGCTATCTGCTATTGTACATGTGTAAATACGGTTTTTTTCTGGCTGGGGCCTCTCATTCACAGCATTGAGAGGTCCTTCCTAGGCTGCTGAATGTGTTAAAGTATTCTCTTAATTTTCTTCTCTCACTTATCTCAGAGTATGTCCTGTGTGGGGCTACAGGGACCAAGAACTTAAGAATCAAAATGCCTGCTGGATTTCTGGATTTTGAGTCAAGGTGAAAATTATATAGATGGTAGAATAGGTAATGATATAATCTTACACACTCTAAGATGCAAACATATAACAAAATGATGACCTCATAGATACTCTAATTCATATGATCTCCCAGTGTATTTTATAATTTACATTACAGTTTACATGACACACACCTCATATTTAATATCTAAAGCTTATTTTGATTTATACATTAGATACATTCTTGAAAAGATGCAGTTTAAATAAATACTTCTTTAATGCCTACAATTTCCCCAATGATTTTTATAACCATAACAGACACATAACTCACAGGGGGGAAAACTGCTTCTGGCATAGAATAAAAATCACCAATTTAGAATTCTCATTTCACTTCAAAACACTTTGCGCTTTTGTAAATATGGAATCTCGGTTGATGCTTTAATTATATTTAACACATAATATCTTCAAGGAGTTCATCAAATTGATAGCCTGTGCCATCTTTGCATACAAATTTAAAGGTGCGAATACATTAAAATTCAACTTGGTGGAAATTTACAATGCAATGAAAATTAACTAACTTCATGGAACTGGATAGACAGAAGACTGTGGAATGGTCCTAAAACTTATTGGCTGCAAAAGATTACATGAAAAGTCTCTATTTAATGGGGCTTAGCTGTTACCTGTACACCTGAAATATTACTTTTCCTTTAAACACATTATCCCTCCCACAGCATTTCCACCACCCCAGGCCCGTTCTCCATGAGCAGCCAAGTCAAGTGTTGCTAGGGATGCTGATGAATAAGGGTCCACTTAATTACCAGTTGATTACAAAGTCTCTAACTCCTAGTATCTCACTGGAGGAGAGGGAGTTTTAGTTTTCAGGGACTGAGTCAGTAGGAGTCTTAACTTTGAACTGCTTCATCTTAAAGAACTGCTGCCATGCCTCTTGTCTGTTGAAAGAGACCATCAGAAACCCCTCGTCCTCGTCAAGCTCACTGGTGAGACATTACTAAGTGAGCATGCCTGTATCTTTTGGCAGCTTTGGACTGCAAATAACAAAATACCCCACCTCAAATAGCTTAAGTACCAAGGACATTTATGATTTTGTTTAACAGTGAATCTCCAGGCAGGCTGTTTCAGGGTTGGCCCTGTAGCACAGGGACAGCATAAGAAGTGTCTGCCGGTCACGCTTTCCTAGGTGGTCAGCAGACGGCGGTGCAGCACTACCTGTGCATTCTTATATGACAGTGTTTCAAAGCAGGGAAGAGAGAGAAGTGGCAGGGCCCTCTTCATATACATTTCTTTGCACAGGGGAAAAAAAATAATTTTCACAATTTCAGCTGTGTTCTCCTTGCATCTCAATGGCCAGAATTGTGCCGCATGCCCAGTCCCTGCCAGAGGGGAATGGAATTACTATTACTGTGATTGACTTAG